TTATTGTTATTACTGGTGTAATTACCATAATTATAATAATAATATGTAAGGATAATGTTGTTAATTATTAATAATAATAATGATAATAATAATAACAATAATAATTTTGATAATGATAATGATGATGATAATGATGATGATGATGATAATAATAATAATAATGATAATGATAATGATAATGATGATGATGATGATGATGATGATGATGATGATGATAATAATTATGATTATAATAATAATAATACTGATGATAATGTTAATGATAAAGATGATTATAATTATAATCCTAATCCTAATAATAATAGTAATAAAAAGATAATAACAATAATAGTATAATTATTATTACCATTGTCATTCTATCATTAATATTATTATTATTATCATTATAATTATTATTTATCATTTATGATTATGATGATAGTATTGGTGATGTTAATGCTGATGAAGACAATGATAAGATAATGATAGTATTAATGATAATGATGAAGATATTGATATTAATTGTAATGAGGATAATGAAGATGGCAATGATAATGATGGTAATAATCATTATCATTATGATGGTAATGATAATAATAATAGTGATGATTGATGATAATAATAATAATAATAATGATAATGATGGTGATGGTGATAGTGGTGGTGGTGGTGATAGTGATGATAATGATAAATATTGCAAGGCCATAGGGTAGGGTAGTGTGGGGTCTGAGGAAGCCCACAGTGGGAATTTCTTGCGTTTTAGAGGAATTTCTTAAGCGTTGAGGGATAACGGTTGCATTTTTATGTTGATTAATGCTGTAAAAACATCATATTATGTAGGAGTACTATGTTTTTTTGTGGTTTTGGTAAGTACTCATTTACATACATTTGGAAAAATACAGGAAAGTGGGTTATTTACATGTTTAATATCAGCTAGTGTTTTCTTAGTAATTTTGACACAAACGTATTTCAGTGTTATCTAAACGATTCATATATTTTTGTTTATTATCCATTTCACTGCAATGGTGACACGATTTATTATTTGAGGAAAGTCTGCCAATGAATTAATGTCATATTGGTTGAGTGTTTTATATTATATTGGTGAGTTACATCACTAATTGTTAATATTATTTTTTTCTCCTTACGGTTTATAGAGAGTGAGAGAAAGTCAGGCCGTTTGCAATTGCAGTTGTTGGTTTTCTCTTCCTCTCCCTCTTTTCCTTCCCCCTCTCCCTTTCCCTTCTCGCTTTCTCCCTTTCTCTTCCCTCTCTAATTCCATCTTCCTCTCGGTTTCCCCCTCCACTATTTCCCTTCCTTTCCCCTATCTCCCTTCTTTCCTTCTCTTTCCTTCCTCCCTCCTCCTCCTCCTCCTCCTCCTCCTCCTCCTCCTCCTCCTCCTCCTCCTCCTCCTCCTCCTCCTCCTCCTCCTCCTCCTCTTCCTCCTCCTCCTCCTCCTCCTCCTCCTCCTCCTCCTCCTCTTCCTCCTCCTCCTCCTCCTCCTCCTCCTCCTCCTCCTCCTCCTCCTCTACCTCCTTCTTTTCTACCTCCATGACCCCCCTCTCTCCTGTCTTCCCCTCCCCCTCCTTCCTTCCCCCTCTCCCCCTGAATTCCCTCTTTCTTTCCCCTGGATCCCCCCCTCTCCCCCTCCCACGCTTTTCCTCTCCTCCTCTTCCCCTGGATCTCTCTCTCTTTCTCCTCTCTCTCCCTCCCCACCCCTCCCATACTCTTCATCTCTCCCTTCTCCCCCCTCCCCCCTAAATCCCTCCCCCCTGTCATCTCTCTCTCAACACTCTCTCTCCTCTCTCCTCGTCTCTCTCCTCTTGTCTCGCCTCTCCTCTCTCTATCTCGTCTCTCGCTCTCTCTCCTCATCTACTCTCTCTCTTTCTCTTGCCTCAATCTCTTTCTCTCTCATCTCTCTCTCTTTCTCTCTCCTCCTCTCTTTCTACGCGCTCCTCACCTCTCTCTTCCTCTCTCACATCTATCTTCTCTTCACTCCTCCTCCTCTCTCTCTCAGTCTCTCTCTCTCCTCTCTCCTCTCTCTCTCTCCGTCCCTCTCTCCTCTCACCCTCTCTCTTCTCATCTCTCTCTCTCAACCCTCTCTCCTCTATCCCTCTTCTCTCTCTCCTCTCTATCTCTCTCTCTCTATCTCTCTCTCACATCTCTCTCGTCTCTCTCTCTCTCTCTATTCCTCTCTCTCCTCCTCTCGCTCTCTCTCCTCTCTCCCTCTCTCTTTCTCATTCTCTCTCTCTCCCATCATCTCTCCTCTCTCTCTCATCTCTCTCTATCTCTCTCTCTCTCTCGTTTGTTTCTCTTTCCTCTCCCTCTCTCCCTCCTTCCCTCCCTCCTCCCTCCAACTCTCCCTCCCTCCCCCCACTCTCTCTCACTTCCTCTCTCCCCCCCCTCCCCCCTTTTCTCTCTCCTCTCCTCTCTCTTTCTCTCTCTCTCTCTCTCCCTCTCTCGCTCGCTCTCTCTCCTCTTTCTCTCACCCTCCCTTCCCCTCGCCTCCCTCCCCCCTCCCCCC